ATATACTTTGTCTTTTGTCAGCAAACTGCTACAGGAGCTCCTGCAAGATCATTGGTTATATACCGGCTATACAAGTTCTCCTGTAAGCAAAAAAGCTTACTCATTTATATCATCTTGAAAATGACACACTTAGAGTCACCCCTCAGGTGAGATTCCAGCTATTGTAATGTCATTGGTTTTATATCCTTTCAGATCTTGAAAAACAAACATGGCTCCCAAATGGTATAACTATACATGTGCTAGTCTATATCTTATTTTAGAGGACTCCAACATACTGCCTGAGCGTTTCTTTCTTTCTGAAGCACAATATCTGTCCATCATCCTGTCATTCAGAATTGAGAAAATGCTGTCAACTGAAGAACACAGAACAAGAGTAATAAGTTTTTGTGTTCAAACACCAGGCAGATCACTTTAGATTTCACCCTAGGGGAGCAATTTTCCTCATTTAACAGCTATATTAGCCTTGCAGATAGATATTTCAATTTATCAGTTAATGAATTTTTCCCCATATAATTTACTCTTTGTCCTCATACCTACCAGGGTAGTAAGTATACCAGGATGGGGCCAAGAATGAGCATTTCTCAGAAGGGTGGGGCCAGTGTTCCAATTTGTCTTTATGGTCTTTGTGGATGGTTTTGTTGTGTTTTTAAACTGCTACCTGGATTCCTTGACAGGCTACCTACAGACACTCACTTTACATGTTATGATTATTATTTTGAAGAGATGTTACATGGAAATATCACTGATCATTCTGCCAATTCAACACTGACTTGAAGTTAATTACATCTACTTATGAAACCATTTTTCAAACATCCTTCACAGTATCAAAGAGAAGCATTCCAGCCTCTAAAACCAAGTCTGAGTGATGTAAATCCTACCTTTCTACTAACTTCCGTCATAAAATTAGAGACATGTAACCCAAACAGAGGTCCCAAACAGGCTCAGTTTAAAACCATGGATGAAGAAAAAGAGGAGGACAATAGCCGGCCCTGTGGTGGCTCACTTGTTTCATCATTTGAAAATTAGGTGGCTCTTACCACTGGTCACGTCCCTCATCTTCATGACCACAGGGATGTCTCTTGTTACCGAAGTTACTCACCTCTATGCTTTGGGACCTCTAGACTTTGCCCTCTTCTGGCTTTGATATGGGCATTTTCACCCCTTTAATTGGGAATTCGACTGCAGTAACATGCTTCACCAGTGGGGGTCAACTCTCCAACTGTCCTACTACCAGAAAAGCCCTATGTTAGAGGCTTCTGCTTATATAAAACATACTCATTACTGATCTTTGACTTAAAAATTCTCTATTAAAATTCTGTAATCATCTCCTGTTTCCCCCTGTGGCATAAACATATGCAGCTCTTTGCAGTTCAGGTTAAATTTAGATACTTACGGTGAATACAAGATTTCATTCTTGTAAGAAAAGGCATATTTCTATTTGACAGTGGGAAATTTCCCCAAGTGAAACATATGCTTTCATAATATAGACTGACCCTCTCATAAAGGAAATCTACAATACAAATACTTTATATATAAAGATAAACCATAAAACAAAGGCTTTCCCACAATCCTTTTTAATAATGACTGTATATTTAATATGGTCTCATTACATAAACAAATAATGCACATTTATTGATACAAAGACACAGAAAAATAATTTAAAGACATATTCCAAAATGTTAACAGTAGTTATCTCAGAATGGCATAATTACAAATGGCTTGCCTTTCTTTATATTTTTGGAACTTCCAGTTTTCTTTTTCAGTAAATTAGAATTACTATACTATTATGGACAAAAAGTTTAAATGTATACGTGCATAGGTATATATTCCTTTTTATTCTGGTAAAATACACATAATACGAAATTTATCATTTTCATCCCTCTTAAGTGTACAATTCAGTGGCATCAAGTACGTTAACAATGTTGTACAGCATTCAGTTCTATAATTTTTTCATCACCCCTAATGGAAACCCTGTACCCATTAAAAGCAGCCAGCCCCTCCCCCAACCCAGGGCCCCCACTAATGTGCTATCTCTCTGGAGGTGCCCATTCGGGATATTTCATATAACTAGAACCACACAGTATGCGGTCCTTTGTACTTAGCTTCTTTTCCTTAGCATACCGTATCCAAGGTTCCTCCATGTAGCACTACTTCATTTCTATTTATGGCTAATATTCCATTAGATGGATATACAGCATATTGTTTATCCATTTATCTGTTGATATGCATTGGGGTTGTATCTACCTTTTGGCTATTATGAATAGTGCTGCTATAAACATCTGTGTACACGTTTTTGTTTCAACATCTGTTTTCATTGGGGGGGGGCGGTATATACCTAGGAGTGGAAATGGCTTGGCATATACCTTTTTAAAAATGCTTTTAATCAAGTAACCATGCCTTTTCAGAATTATTAAGGGTAACCTTTATGACATCATCCCCATAATAATACCATTCCATTTTTAGTTATCGACTATGGTATATTTTTTTAAGCCCAAATCATTCTCGTACTTAAAAATGTAATTTTCACGCTTACTCTTTGGGAACAAATTTCTCTTATGCTAAATACTTCAAGCTATGATGAACTACCTGAAAATGACAGTGTATTCCTCTTGGCATAGCCATTCTTACAGTCCCTAATTCACTTTCAAATACCTATATGTTCAAAGTACAAAACTATATGTATTTTTGTTGTTATTACTTTAACCAGAAGGCATCAGTAAATAGATGCCAATATTTAAGCCTTAAGGAATGCATTAAATATACAATATACAGTGGCGCCTGGGTGGCTCAGTCTGTTAAGCGTCTGACTTCGGCTCAGGTCATGCTCTCACAGCTCCTGGGTTCGAGCCCTGCATCGGGCTCTGTGCTGACAGCTCAGAGCCCAGAGCCTGCTTCCCATTCTGTGCCTTCCTCTCTCTCCCTGCCCTACCCCCACTCTGGTTCTGTCTCTGTCTCTCAAAAATGAATAAACATTAAAATTTTTTTAATAAAATAAAAATACAATATACAATGTATGAAGGTTAACTTTAGCTGTAGACTGTACTTGAAATGGGCTAAAGAAGAAGATGGTGTTCTCTGAACCTGCTCGTAGTTATTTAACTACTGTTGGACTCTCCCATTTTTCCTTCCCTCCAAAATACATGCATGCATATTCATGCAATATACATTCGTGTCCATGCCACACATACACAGCTGCACATGTGCAAACCCCCACATGCTACAACTGTACTTCCAAACTCAGTGGTAGCAAGTAAGAGTAGGCATGGTTTTGTAGCTTGGTCATCCCTTAGATTTCAGGCTTGCTCCCTTTGTTATTGCTTCCACCCCTACCACTATACACACAGCACTCTGTAATTCAGAAAGCAGAAACAAAACTCTAGCTAGAAAAGAGGAAGCAGCAGCCTAAAACATTAAAAAAAAACCCAAATTTAATATTTGTTAATAAGTGAAGGATATAATTTGGGATTATTTAAAAATAAAACACTAGGGAGTGCTCCTGTGATACTGGTAGACTTCTCTTAAAGAAAAATTCAAATAGGAACAATGAACTTATAGAAAACATTCAATTAAGACATTTTAATACTGTGAAAGGTTTTACACAATCCAACTTGGCTACGATCAACACGAGCAACTAGTTTTATTTTTTCCTTTACAAAAAATCCCCAAATGTTTTCATATTCTGATAATACTTCAAAAAAAAATACAACCCTATGTACTACAAAACTCAAAAGGAACTCTTGTTCTACTCTCTGCAGAATGTTTTTTAACAGCTCAGGTATAACAATTTATATCATAGAGATTTTTTTCCAGTGAAGATTAGGAACTTTATAAATGGCGTATTCTGTAAGTGGAAAACTGAATGGCAGTGGAATAAGTTGTCCCAAGTCTCACAAGGAATCAGTGAAAAGCCAAAAATAAAATTCATATCCCATAAATTATCAAAATAGTGGTCTGTCCACAAGGAAAAATACCTCAGTTACCATGGGGGGGGTAGCCATTCTAAAAAGGCAATAGAATTAAAACATGTTCTACCATAAAGATATAGCTATGTCATATATGAGTGTTTATGTGAGAGAATGCTAAGTATATGAGAATGCTAAGTATATCACCGAAGTCCCATTCTTTCATTCGTGGAGTACTTATTTCTTTATGCTTTGTGTATACTTCTTTCCTCTGCTCTTAGACTATAAGATACTTTGTGGTGAGGACCAAATCTGAGGATTTTTGTATATGTAGCACAGTGCCTTGAATACAGTAGGCATTCAGTAATGTGTCCATGTTTGTGTGTGAAATTTCATGGACATACAGTCAGCTATCTCCTCCCAAATCGTGGTGAGAACCTCTGACCTTCCTTAAAAAGCCAACCCCACATACTAAAGAATAAAAAATATGCTCGATGTAGGTTATTTCGATAATGACAATGCTCAGAGATACCCAAGATGTGACCTTAACATTATTTCCCAGCATGTTTAACTGCATAAATTAAGGTAGCCCAGAATGAACTGACATGATTTAAGTGTAGTTAACCAAAACCTTGTCTGTATCCACATATTGATTTCCCCAACTGGTGTATTATTACCCTGTTTTGCTCCTTGCTTCTGAGGTGTATCCTGTGACCACTTAGCTGCTTGGAGGCCGTTAAAACCAAAGTATATCAGAATGGAAAAAAGAAGAAAACTAAATTCCAATCAGTCCTTCTTACTACTTATTAACAGCTTTTATGAGGTGCTGTGGCTAGAGTAATAGGATAGAAATAAACAGCAACTTCAGTTTGGGGATTAAAACAACACATGGCACTTTGCCTTTAAAAAAAAAAAGAAAAAAAACAACAACTCCTTCACCGATATCTCATTGATCAGATGTGAGGTTTATTTGTCCACATGACTCTCCACCTCCACCCCACTAGAGAATGGGCCAACAGAGTTGGTTTTGGGGCCTAATTTTTAACATTTACTCAGGAATTACTTTCATGTTTCCTTAAGAAATTTCTACAGTCTTACCTCCCAGTCCAAATAATCACAGACATCTTCAAAGTTAGTGAGCAGAGAGACTGAGCAGAAGAGCCGTGGTAACTCATCCCTTGTCATTGGGGGAAAACGGCTATCTTTAAGGGCACTGTTGAAAACAAAGCAAATATTAAAGTAATGACTACATATGAGAGAGTCCTAATTTCAAATGCAGACAATCATTTAAAAAAGGTAAGAGACACACACAAAAATATCCTTAAGGTGCCAAAAATGCCAGTGATCTTCAAATATATTCAAAGATTTTAGAAGTCTTTTTTTTTTCATTCAATAGACTGTTTATTAGCCAGTCCTGTGACCAGTTGTAAAGAGTGAATGATCAATTACATTTCCTTACAGTCATTTTCTGCACTTCCCTGTTACTTGTAGAATATGAGAATATTTTAGTTTACTTTTGAGAAGAATAAAAACCAGACCAGTGGACATTTGGGGGAAGATTTCTAGATCTAGGGCTGGTAGAAAAAAATATATATGGTTAAAAAAAAAAAAAGCTCACACTAGGTTGGCCAGTTACCATAGAACAGCACTCAGAGTTCAAAAAACATCAAAATTTCATTTTCTTCAAGCAAAAGAAATCAAAGAAAATTAAAATAATCATGCAAATTACTGACTAAAAATACAAGGCTTTCAGGCCCCCTATAAAGGGTAATTCAAGATATGACTCAAAAATTGTGAAACTACAGGAAATTGGGCTAATCTAGGAAATAAAAGTATGATTAGGAGACCATTAATCACATCAATGGATTTCTGAGTACATCAACTCTGATTGGATCCTGTAATCAAGGGTAATATACTACAGTGCCAAATTCTAGAAAAACCCCTACTGTAAAGGACAAAGATGTTGGAAGACCATAATTCTTCCTGCAATAGAAGAAAAGACAGAAAATACACAGATATGCACACACACAGTGACACCATATGTTTCTTATACTTTTAAAAGAAACTACTTCCTGGTCAAGAAAAACAAACACACCTCTGATTACACTTTATGTTAATGGCACTGCTGGCATTTGTACCATTGATCTTCAAATCTTCAAATCCAAATGTCCTATATTAGCAGCCAGACTTAGAAAATGTTTTCATAGATTAATCCCTAGAAGTTCGAACTTAGAGCCTACAAACTGCATTGGTTATAACAAAGTTCCGTGGCCTTTAGAAAAAACTTAATTCTTTTTTCAGGGACTTCCTCATTGCTGGATTTTTTTTTTTCATTTTTCCATCCCTTCCTTTGCATTCTGAAACTCATTTACTGTATTGTACAAATATAACCCCTATGTTTGTATTTTTTTAATGCTTATTTATTTTGAGAGAGTGAGATAGACCATGAGGAGGGGAGGGGCAGAGAGAGAGGGAGAGAGAGAATCCCAAGCAGGCTCTGCACCATCAGCATGGAGTCCAATATGGGTCTTGAACCCACGAGCCGTGAGATCATGACCTGAGCCAAAACTAAGAGTCAGAAACAACAAATTGACTGCGCCTCCTCACCCCACCCTGCTGGTGCCCCTTATTGCATTTTAGTGCCCGTTCTATCCTACTATACAAAGGAAAATGCTTATAGAAATATATGTTCTACATAAAGTATAAAGGTGTTTTCCCATTCAAGGATCCAAGATGAGCCAAGGAAATCAGGAAATCTGTGATAATTTATACTCTGAGAACAGCAATTCACTATTTTATAATTTAACAATATACATTTTCCACAGTTTGGCCTCTTTTACTTTCCCATTGGCAGATAAAATTTAAAAAACAAAAACATTTTCAGGTTCTCATCCAAAACCAAGATAAAGACGTGTATGTGTGTATAACCAATACCCTCTCCCCTAACAAACACACATACTGAACAGAAGTTCTAAAACATAGAAGAATTCCATGAATAAAAACAAAAAGGCCAACCGTATTTTGTCTTCCTATTAAAAAGAGAAAAACAGAGAGGGGAAAAAGCCTTATACATTAGAATGCTAGAAAATGTAATTTTTTAGGATTATAGATTTTTTCCTCATGGTAAAATATACATAACATAAACTTGACGGTTTTAACTATTTTTAAGTGTGTAGTTCTGCGCGATTAAGTATGTTCACAGTGTTGTACAACCATCATCACCATCCATCTCTATTAACTTTTATCATCTTGCCCAACTGAAACACAGTATCCATCCAATATGAACTCCTCCTTCCTTCCAGCCCTTGGCAAAAATGTAAATTAAACATACTTTTATAATTTCAAGTAATTATAGTAATAGAGTCATTAATGTTTTTTTGAAATATAACAGCTTATGGAGATATAATTCACATACCATAAAATTTATCCATTACTGTATACAATTAAATGAGTTTTAGTTTATTCACAGAGTTATTCAACCATCGCCACTATCTAATTTTAAGGCATTTTGTCACACCAAAAAGAAGCTACATACCTGTTAGCGGTCAGTCTCCATTCGTCCCTGCCCCCAGCTCCTGGCAAGCATTAATCTAATTTCTGTCTATGGATTTGCCCATTCTAGATTGTCATGTAAGTGGAGTCATACAATATGGGGACTTTTGTGTCTGGTTTTTTAGTATAATGTTTCAGAGGTTTCATCCATGCTCTAGACCATGTATCAGAACTTCATCTTTTAATTGCCTAAAAATATTCAATTGTGTGGCCATAACACATTTTGTGATCTTTTTATCTGGTGAAAAGCATTTGGGCTGTTTCCACTTTTTGGCTACTAGGAATAATGCTGCTGTAAACATGAATGTATGAGTTTCTGTGTGGACATGTTTTCGTTTTTCGGGTCATATGGTGATTCTGTGTTTAACTTTTTTAAATGTTTACTTTTTTTGAGAGAGAAAGAGAGTGCATGCATAAGCAGGGGAGGGGCAGAGAGGGAGACATGGAGAAAGAGAATCTGAAGCAGGCTGAGTCGTCAGCACAGAGCCTGATGCAGGGCTTGAACTCATGAATGTGAGATCATGACCTGAGCCAAAGTTGGGCACTTAACAGACTAAGCCACCGAGGCGCCCCTCTTACATTTAACTTTTTAAGGAACCAGCAAACTGTTTCCCACAGCGGTGCTACCATTCTACATTGCCACCAGCAATGTATGAGGGTTCCAATTTCCCCCTATCCCTACCAACACTTGTTACTGCCTGCCTTTTTAAGTAATAGTGCTAGATCTCCTTTAATGAAGAGGTTTTTAAAAATCTATCTCTAGCTTTTAAAACAAGACACCTCCTGAAGTCGCCATACTGTTAACTTCTCAACACTGTGAAGCAAGTCATTTTGTTTATTTCCTAGAAAACCAACGAAAGGTAAATTTTAGTAATGCAATTCAAACTATTTCAAGTCAATGAAATTTTCAAGAACCTAAAATGTAACTCCCATGATATGGAGCTTGTTGCTCAATCATTCTGGGGGGAAAAAAAAGATTAGAACAATGAGTAAGTGAGAGAATACTGGTAGCATGGCTAATAAGAGAAACTCACAGTCATGCCTCACCATACCAGGACTCAAATATATTAACTTCAAAACTGAAATAGTGAAGGTACATTAGTCATGATAGAAACAGTCTGATTTTACCAAAACAGTCATTCAAACAAGACTTTTATTCTGGCACCTTTTTTTTTTTTTTGGAACTCTAACTTTTCATTAAATTCATGAGCATAGAAAAATTCCAAAAGGTAGGAAGCCCTCAGTATTTCTAAATGCAAATTCCTAGGGAAAAGAACTAGCAATGAAAGCCTAGCCAGGGTTTAAGGGATTATAAAAAAGATGAAAAATGCAGCTGGAGACTGACCTCAGTCAGAGCTGCTAGGCTGGTGTGGACAGCTGATAAACAAGAGGATTCGCCTCCCTCAGCCCTGCTCTCTTTAGCAGATAGAACGTGCAATGTACAACTAAAACTATGGAGGGGATATGCTGTCTCGAGTTGGGCAGGGACTTGCTCGAGGCGACCCAGCAAGCTAGTGACACAGGTGAAATACAACCCCAAATATCTGACTCAAGTCCAAAATACTCTCTAGTATCCATACTTTAGTTGCCACCTGTGAATGAATTAGTATTTTCTGTAATTTTAAAATTAAATGCTTGCCTTACTCGGCAATTCTGATCTCATACCTGTACTGCCTCTGCCTAAAGAAGATAAATAATAATTTAATAGCATTCATTAGTAGCCAAAGGGTAAATACAGTCAGACTTCCTGTCTACTAGAAATCTGCAGGAGCAAAAAGGAATGTAAAATATTAATATCGTCCATGGAAAACATTTTATACCAGCGTAGTGTCTGCCAATTTAAATTCTAGGCAGTCTAAGAAACTGACAAACAAGGAGATCTTGTAGTAAATTCATATGAAGTTCTCTTTGCTACAATAGGAAGCCATTTTCTCATGTTTAAATATTGCTAGGCGAAAAGAAAACCCCACTTATACACAAAACCAGCTGGCTGCTCCATCACCCATGTGATGGATGGGTAAGGTTAAACAACAGTTTAATTCACATACCAAATTCAAATATATTCAATTCAAATTGGCACCTTACCAAGAATATATTTTACCTAATTGAGCAGCAGCATTAACATCTGTCAAAGTTAATATCTAATGTTAAATAGCACTTTAATGAAAACGAACATTTAAAAAAAGGAATTAAGAGTTTAGCTATCAAAGAATCAAAGTTTGTGACAGTGCCTGGAAACTATGAGGGGGGAAAACAGCTGAAAAGAGACAGTACCTTAGATATTACAAGGCTCATCATAAATGATATAGCATGCAGCCGAAATGATTTAAGTGAAACTAGCTAGCTAGCCATTTACTCACTCATTCCTTCATTCCTTCACTTTCTAAAGCTTTGAGGACTTTAATCAGCTAACCAGTAGAAAGTTACCAAACTCAGAAGTGCTTCATATTACAGGCCATCATTTTTCAGGACAAGGAAAAACAATTAAAACCCAAATTAACAATCTCTGTTTGGATAGGTGAAGAAAAGCAAGTCAAGCATGCATTAGTCTAAAATTTAAGAAAAAAACAAGTTTTTTTCATGAGAGGTTTCGATCATCTGGAAATTCTGCCATTCCTCATCAGAGATCCTGGAACACGTGTGGCATGTCTGAATTCCAGA